ACCTCCTGAAATGGATGAAGATCAAACCATTCTTTTTGATACAATTACCCTGCATATACTTTCCATCTTTTTCTTGATGTTTCCTGCATCATTCAATATTTTGCCCATGCAATCTTTCAGTATTGCAACTCAAGGCTTAAACTTTGTCCTCAGTTCTTTGAGCCTGAGAAATGCTGAGCGTGTTCCTCCCATTTGGTTTTCTAACTCCAGGTCTTTTCACATTTCATTATAGTAATTGGCTTTGTCTGCTCAAGCTGCTCTTTGAAATCTGCTGTTCAGCTCTTTAATCTTGTCATTTCTTCCATTTGCTTTAGCTACTCTCCACTCAAGAGCAAGTTTCAGAGTCTCTTCTGACATGCATTTTGGTCTTCTTTTCTCATCTTTTAATGACTTCTTAATTACTTCATGGAGATGTTCTTGATATCATCCCACGATTCTGGTTTTCGGTCATTGGTAATCAGTACATCAAATCTATTCTTTAGATGGTCTCTAAATTCAGGAGGGATATATTCAAGGTCATCTTTTGGTTCTTGTAGACTTGTTTTAATTGACTTCAACTTCAAGTTGAACTTGCATATGAGCAGTTGATGGTCTGTTCCACAATCGGCTCCTGGCCTTGTTTTGGCTAAATATACTGAACTTTTCCATTGCCTCTTGCCACAGATGTTGTCAGTCTGATTCCTGTGTACTCCATCTGGCAAAGTCCACGTGTATAGCCACCATTTGTGTTATTGAAAAAAGGTATTTGCAATGAGTAAGTCATTGGTCTCGCAAAATTCTGTCATGCGATCTCCAGAGTTATTTCTGTCAGCAAGGCCAAATTTTCCAACTACCAGTGATTCTTCTTTGTTTCCAACTTTTGCATTCCAGTCACCAGTGACAATTAACACATGTTGATTCCATGTTCAGTCAGTATGACATTTTGTCATATATTTGTTTTTCCATTTATAACTTAAGGAAACATTATTTTGAATTTAATGTCTCAAATATAATGTCTCAATAATAAGAGAAAAACTGACAAGTTTGAAAGAAGCATTGACATTTCATAGTTTTATTAAAATGAAACACATTTTATGGATAACCAATATGTGGTATATACATACAATGAAGAATTATTCAGCTATGTTGTTGTTGTTGTTACGTGCTGTCAAGTCAGACCTGAGTCATAGCGGCCTCTCTTGGGTTTCCCAGGCAGTATCTCTACGAAGTAGATTGCCCAACCTTCCTTCTGAGGAGTGGCTGGTGGGTTTGAACCACCAGGCTTCTGGTTAGCAGTCAGATGTCTTAGGCCCTACATTACCAGAGCTCCTATTCAGCTATAAAGAGAAATAAATTTCTGAGCATGCCACCACATGGATGAACCTTGAAAACATGATGTTATGTGAAAGAGCCAGACACAAGAGGACAAACATAATATGATCCCACTTATAGGAATTATCTAAAATGGGTAAATCCATCAAAACAAAAGATTAGTGGTTACCAGGGGGACTGGGGGAAGGAGGGAATGGGGAATGAAAACAGAAAAAAAAAAAAGAAAAAGATTTAATAAATTCACAAAAATTAAAACCAGATTACCTTTTGTATTTGTTTATATTTTGGAGTCAGAATTTGTCTTGTCTCTGTATCATTTCATTTTTTAAAAGAATTATCCAAGAAATATTAATTGTATAATTAATATCAAATGAGAAATTAAGAGAGTCTGATTTTATTTAAAAGAAAATTCTGGAAGCCTAGTTAGAAATGATTCCATATTGAAATTCCAGTAATGTTGGTTACAAACCCAACCTCCACACTTCTCAAAATTTTATGAAGAATTGGTAGAGTTTGTTGAGGGCTTGTAGGTTTCTCAGGAAGTTTAATTTCAGGTGAAACCAAACCATAACCTGAAGGCGAAATTTTCCCAGATTAGTCCAAACCAGGGCAGCGCTGGAGAACCTGAAGCAAGTTGGTCGCAGACCCGCCCTTCCGCTGGGCCGACCTCTGCGGTCCATGCGCACACTGTTTCTGGAGTCCGGCCCGAGCTTGGGCTGCTACAGAGGCGGACATGGATCCGGGCGGGCGCGCTCTGGGTCATGGGGCCGCAGCCAGGGCACTGCTGCTAGGGGTGGCGTAGCCGCGAAGGGGCTTAAAGAAGACCTGAGGGTCGCGGCTGCCTGGGCCCGGCGATGCCTGTCCCGGATCCCAAAGCAGGAAGGCCTTGGGAGGAAGAGGTGGAGACGGGAGACGAGCTCTGTGAGGAAAAGTTTCAGAAAATCAGGCGGTGGCGGTGGCGATGGGCAATGGGGTGGGCTGGGGCGAAGGGACTTGAGAAGTTGTCCAGTGCAGCGCCTCTGGACGCTGTGGGGAAGTTCAGGCGACGACTTGCCCCAGGGTGCCAGCACTGAGCCATCCTCCACCCCTGCACACCCTGTTCCCTGATTTTCAACTTTGGAGCCCAAGTTTTAGTTTATATCCTACCCCTACCCCCACCAACCGCTTTTGTGGATAGAGGAAAAGTTTGACTCTTCCAACAAAGAAGATTATTAGAGAAATGATTAAGCCCTTTTGCAAATAAGGAAAGAATTTCATGTACCCTGTCTCCTATATCCTGACTCATGCATTGATTTATTATTTGACTTTCCTTAACCTTCCTGTACTTAGGTTTTTCTGTTTTGTTTTGTTTGAGCATGGGATAGATCATCTGTGCCTTGGGAATAAATTTGCAGACTAAACTGGACACTCTTGAAGAGTCTTCAGAAGTTTAGAATGACTACCATCCTTACCAGGGTAAACCATCCCAAGACTGGCTAGCTGGGATGACCTCACTTTGTAGAGATCAGCCTTGAGGTCGTGTACCAGTGACTTAATATAATGTGCAATTAATTTGTTAATTCATTCTAGAAATATTTTTTAGGGCTTACTATTTGCTAGACACATACTAGATGTGGAAATGCAGAGAGGATATAACAACTCCTAAGAACATGACAAAGGAGCTCTGGTGGCATAGTGCCTAAGGCATTTGACTGCTAATCAGAAGGTTGGAGGTTCAAACCTACCAGCCATTCTGTGGAAGGAAGATAGGGCGATCTACTTCCAAAAAGATTTACTGCTTGGGAAACCCAATGAGGGTTGCTATGAGTTGGAATCGACTCGATGACAGTAAGTTTGGTTAGTTTTGGGAAGAACATTACCAGGAAGTTCACTTTCTGGTTGTGGAGGGGTGATAATGTCACAAGTAAACAAATAAATGAATAAGGTAATTTGAGGAAGCAGTAATTTTTGTGAGGATCAGAAAACAGCATAGTATGACTAGGAAAAACGTTAACTTTGGTGGTCAAGTAATGCTGGACATTTGAGCAGACACTGATAGGAATGTACTAACTATGGAAAGTCCAGGAGGAAGAGTATTACAAGCAGGAGTAATAGATAGTGCAAGGCAGTAGTGAAATTGATATTTTCAAGAAACGGAAAGAAGACCAGTCTGGGACATAAGGAGTGAAACCCTCTGCTATTGGGTCATTTCTTTTTTTTTTTTTCTCTTGTGATTTGGGTGAAAATTTACAGAGCAAATACACTTTCCATACAGCAGTTCACATACACGTTGTCTCATGACATTGACCACAATTTACTACAATGCAACATCTCCCCTCCTACTTTCTCCTGATAGTTACCTCTTCCCTGTGTCCATCCCTCCATGCCCTCCTGCCCCCTGAGCTGTCTCCCTGTGCATAAGCAGCCCTTCTTTCTCCCATG